CAAGCATTGCATATAGAATATTGTTGGCTATTCTAGTAACGGTCGCATCTCCGGAAAATGAGTTTTTCGAAATTGAAGTTTGTGAAATCTTACTTATGCTCCACAACGACCCAAAAAAAGACTTAGTGGTTTGGCGATGATATCTATCGAGAACGAAATCTTAGAGAGTATAGACTACGAAGAGTTGATAAACCAATTTGCAATCAAGAATGCTAGGAGAGTTTCACATATCGTCGGTTAGCTGTTAGGATATGGAATTACTCATTTAAAAACTATGATTTTGCTATGTTTATTGCTATAAAGCTTATCGTTATCTTAATAAACAATTATTTTATATAATTTAATTCGTTACACGTTAAGTCCTAAGGGCATTTTTTATCCGCCTCGTCCTGAACATTTAAATTCTCAGAACCGGCCCTGCCGAAGTTATTATTTAAATATATAAATATATACATACATAAATACTCAATTATTCATTATTTTAGCCGAAATTAAACTATTAATTTAATCATGTATTATAAAGCCACCATAGTTTGAATAATTGAGTATTTACTTATAAATTTAAATGTAATAATGTATGCTCCATGGTCAGACTATTCTTTTAAAATGTAAAAATACATGTTTACATATTAAAATGTCTATTTATATATGTATAAAACTTATATAATATTTTTAGGGAAAACTACAATAAAGTCCTTACATATTGGCTTCATAATCGATTTAGTCATTATATCTTTTTTTTTAATTCAATTAAGTCCCAAAAACCGGTAATCGTATTCAATTTAACCCTTTTACCCGGTCAACAGGTCATCTAACTTTCAAAAATTACATTTTTGGCCCAGATTCCAAAATTTATTACAAACTTGGTCCAAAATTTACACTTTTTGCCCAGATTTTAAATTTTATTACAAATTTGACCAAAAATTTACTCTTTTGGCCCAAATTTTTGAGTTTTTTTTTTATGAATTCATCCTAACTTTAGTTTTTTTACAACTTTTTTTTTTCTCAAAAGTTTGTTTCGAATATGTTTTTTCTTTATAAAATCATATTTATACAAAACAAGAAACATAGTTTCACATAAAATATCTTATATTTTCTATATAAAAACCTTTTTTTTTAACTTTTTTGTATACGAAATATCTATTTAAAAAAATAGGTATTTATTAAGTACACAAATATATACAAATCCGTTTTTACAAAAAAATGTATCCAAATACATATTTTACAAAAAAAATATATACAAACACCTATTTTATTATAAATACATTTGTATACAAACACATATTTATAAAAAAATATAAACAAACACCTATTTTAACAGTGTATATATATATATATATATATATATATATATATATATATATATAGGCTTAGGTTATTATATTCAAAGTAATTATTGTGTTATTGTATGTATAAATGTTGGCCAATCATTTTACTTATTTTAAGAAAGTGATTAATACATATTATTGAATTAAATATAATTGAAAAATACCATCAAATTTAACTAGAAGGGTATTTTAGTCAATTAATATAGATTTAATAAAGGAAATTTGCATATTTTAAGGGATCATAGATTCTATTAATTTTAAAAATCCCATTTTACGAATTATAAGGTTTTTAATTCGGACATTCTGACAGAATATTTTTGAGTATGTTCAAAAATAAAAATATTCTAGAACCATAAAATAATAAAAATATTCTTGAACATATTTCTTGATCATGACTTTAAAAATTTCTTGTAGAATAACAAATTCTCGAACCAGCAATTGAAGAATTAAAACAAAAATTACATTATTTCTTATAGAATACATGTAACAATTGCTAAGAATTACATTTATTATTAAAGAATAAAACTAAAAACTTTCAAATCGGGAAAAAAACATCAAAATCTAACAAAGACACTAATACATTCTAAAAGAATAATGTTGCTAAGAGGCGTTGTTCAAATTTCGTGGTCCGTTCTTCAAAGCATCAGCTTCCGTGAAAACAAATCCAATGAATAAATTAGTGAGAAAATATCCATATTCCATTCCTACATAATTGGAATTCGTGATTCCATTCTGATAGAATTGGAATTCATTTACCAATAATTATGTTAATCCGAGGCATTTTAACAGAATATGTTCATGATTATCATAAAAAACATTCTTTTCTAATAGAATACTATAAACGAAGAAATACCATTCAGTTGAAGCATTTTAGCGAGCGCTTGGTGTGCATCAAAACAACTTTCAATTTCCTGTAAAAATTAGACAATCAGAACAAATTCCCAATTCACCAAAAATATTACACCTTGAAAGAATTAGACAATAAACCTAAACACATCCAAAATTTCTTTGATTTCTGTCAAACAATCAACCCAAACATTCATTCTATATATTGAAATCAAATCAAATTAAAAAAACCCATTTGAAGATTAAACTTCATTGGTTTACAATAATCAGTCAAAATAAGAAGAAGAAGAAAGAAACCTGTACCCATCGACCTCCTTGTCTCTCGTTCTCACCTCACCAGAAAAAAGGAAGAAGTGGCAGAGCCGCCTACTGCCGCTGCTGATTTTGCTTGTCCCTGCCTAATCGATTTTGTGTAATAGAATACACAGTGGTAGAGTGTGTAAAGATCGGAATCAGAGACCACGAAGGGGATGCTTTTTATCGGAATCAAAATTGAAGAAGAACATATAATAGAAACTTATCTGATTAGAGGGGTAGGGCGACCATACCAAAGAGGTGTCGGCGATGCACATGATCCTTGCTTCCTTCGAACCAACTGTCGCCTCTTGATCCCGTCGATTAAACCACCCACCTCTTTTCCCTTCACACACTATGCCGGAACCGGGAGAGAAGCAGCTGAGAGCTGCTTGATTGTTAAAGGTCGATGTTTTCTGTCTAGGGCTTTAAAGCAGATTTTGCGTAAATTAAAGGGTTTATGATTTGAATAATTAATTAAAAGCTAAGACTACAATTTTACCCCTATCTAGGTTTTTAGAATGATTGGTCCACATTTATGCATACAATAACACAATAATTACTTTAAACACCTGAACCTATCTCTCTCTCTCTCTCTCTCTATATATATATATATATATATATATATATATATATATATATATATATAATATATATATATATATATTGTTGTGTGTGTGTGGGGGGGGGGGGGTGCACAAATAGGTGTGTATCTATATTTTTTTATAAAATTATGTTTGTATACATTTCTTTTATAAAAACGTGTTTGAATAAGTTTTTATATAATACGTTTTTGTATACATTTCATATATAAATGTGTTTGAATACCAATGCATTTATTATAAAATAGATGTTTATAAAAAAAATATATATATGTTTTTACAAAATAAATGTATACGTTTACTATGAAATAACTGTTTGTATATATATATATATATATATATATATATATATATATAATATGTGTTTTGCATACAAATGTATTTACAAAAGAATTTGTTTTATGCCCAGGAATATGAATCTGTATACCTTTTTTTTCTTTTTTTTTGTTAAAATACATGTATGTATACATTTTTTTTTATGAAAAACGGATTTGTATCAATTTATGTACTTAATAAGTACATATTTTTATAAATATGTATTTTGTATAAAAGAAGTTTTTATATAGAAAATATAAGTTTTTTTATGTGAAAATATGTTTTTTTTGTATAAATATGTTTTTATAAATAAAAAACACATTTGAAACAAAATTTTGAGAAAAAAAAAGTTGTAAAAAAACTAAAGTTAGGATGAATTCATAATAAAATTATAAAATTTGGACAAAAAGGATAAATTTTGGACAAAACTTGTAATAAAATTTAAAATCTGCGCTAAAAGTGTAAATTTTAGACCAAATTTGTAATAAATTTTGAAATCTGGGCCAAAAATGTAATTTTTGAAAGTTAGATGATCTGTTGACCGGGTAAAATGGTTAAATTAAATACGATTACCGGTTTTTGGGACTTAATTGAATAAAAAAAAGATATGAGGAGTAAATCGATTATGAAGACAATATGTAAAGACTTTATTGCAGTTTTCACATATTTGTATATAAATATGTTTAATAGTAGTTTTTATATAATTCTTTACTAGTTTTTATATAATTCTTTACTTTATTATTCTTACAAGACATTTTTCCTATACAAATTACAAAAAGAAGTCAAAGATAAGTATGAAAACCATCATATGGTTATGGGCATGATACGGACCATATTTAAAATGCATCATATAAAAAGTTGAGAAAATGGTGGGCTTATTTTGGAAAAATTGTTGAATTTTTAACTCAAGGGTAAAAAATAAACAAAATCGTTTGATATAAAACATCAAATGGAAGAAATGGAGGGAGTTTTTATGCAACTTAGTGTAGGAAAATGAAAGTAGGAAGTCCATCGTTTAGACTTTGAAGGGAGTGGTCAAACCTCGGCTGGTCAAAGCATTTAGAACTCTTCAAAGTTCAAATTCAGTGTTAAGTTGTTAACTCCTCAACTCTGTCTCGTATCCATGCTTCATATCTTTTTATACTAGAAACGTATATGAAAATGTGATTTTTATTTGATTTAATATAAAGAAAACAATAAATTTATGGCATAAATTTATAATTTTAGGAAAGTGTATTATTATTATTAAAAAATCAAACAAAAATTTATTAACATATCTCATATTTACTTTTACATTTATTACAACGGTCCTTAAGTGTCAATTTCAAATTCTATTTTTTCTGATAAAAAGAGTACTTTTATCATACAATGTACAAATTTAATATTTTTATATGTATATTATTATAAATACAATGCGGAAGGCGATGAAAAGATTGAACAAATGTTTTTACGTGTGATATATTGCACAATGATTGATTTGTTCGGTAATTTTATTTTATTTTTTCTAGAGTGCTTATAATTAATTAAAGTTACAAATGTAAATATTGTTGTTTATTAAATAATATATGATTTTTCTCTCCGTTGGGATGACGAAAGGTCACTGACAAATCAGCGCATGGACGGAAGTATGAAGGAAGAAACCTTTGGTTAACACCAGTATTGAAACCACCTTCTACGTATCCAACATACCCAATGATTATAGATTAGCTGAAATAAGATCTCCGTTCACCAAGTTCGGTCAGGTGGTAGACGTATTCATCCCTCGAAAGAAGAATCGTAACGGTAAGCAATTTGCTTTCATCCGTTTCAATACGGTGAAAGATGAATCAACGTTGGAAAACGCTCTACAAGGTATCAAGTGCAATGAGAATGTTCTCAAAGTAAACCTAGCCAAGCACCCAAGGAACTCTTCCAAAGCCCTGACTAATGCAACTCATAAACAACGTGTGCAACCCCAATTCCAGCGATATGCTAATACTTCTGGTGGGTTCAGAGACCGGAGATCCTTTGCACAGGTTGCCTCTGTGACTGTCACAAGGTCAATACATAAATGTGTAGTTGACTCAATAAATGAGTACTTATTGGGGAATCACATAGTCTTGATCACAATGCAAACATCCCAACATCATTAATTAATGGGGACCACATCAAATATCTAGGAGGTTTAAACATCGCCAGTGCCATGGGAAGCTCGGTCAGTACTAAAGCTTTCCTAGAGAACAAGAATAGTTGGAGTGAATGGTTTAAGTGGCTGATATAGGGAGACCAAAAAGACCTCCGCTTTGAAAGAATGGCCTGGATAAAAATCAACGGCCTTCCCCTAAGAATATGGGACGAGGCTACATTCTCTATCATTGTAGGAAGATTTGGACGGGTGACTCATCCATTCGACAACATCGGAACCACGAGAGCTTACTCGATGGGAAAAGTGGGTATCATCACGTCGATAAGGAGATGAATTAATGAAGAAGTAATGGTCTCTGCAGGAGGAGAAATAATCTGTGTCGACGTCATTGAGTACACCGACGATTTGTCACCTTTTACACCCCTCCCGTTTGACAAAAATGTGATGATACAGAAGACACAGATGAAGAAGATGCTATATTTGAAACATGGATGCAGGAGAATAATGAGGCGGAGCCGGAGGATGGGGAATATAGACCAGAGAGTATCTTTGGTAACAAAGATAAAGTGATGGAGGTGCGAATAGAGGGATCAGAGTCGGTCGGAGAGGCTCCATCGACAGATTCGGTGACGTCCAATCTGCCCGTTGATGGTACGACTCTTGAAATCCCATATTTTCCAGTTGTCGAGGTATTTACATCGGGAGGAAACGACGACGTTATCTACATTAATTGACCTAGTTCCAATAATGATGACGTGTGCACGAGAAAGTCCTGGAGACTTGGAAATGGGACCCAAATGGGGGGAACGTTCCCAGTAACACTTCCACTTGGTTGTTTGGGCCATTCCCAACTTCCATTAATCCAATAAGATTCTCGACCCAAGCGGGTTATGAAGATTAATTCCCTACAGGTCAGTTGGGGTCCAGGAGAAAAAGAAAGAGGGTCAACAAATCGGGGCAAAAATCTAACTCTCCTCACCGTTCAAACTCTTCCTCCCCTACAAACGCTCTTTGTGACCCTTGAAATCTCTTCCCACCGATTGACAGAAACCTCGCTCCCAATCAGTCCAATCCTATTGACCTAAAAAAAAATCCAACTTTCCGCTCAACCTCTGATGCTGTTTCAGAAAGTAACAATGTGCCCACCTTATCACAGGAGGTTGAAGCAACCGTAGAAGTGGGGGAAACTGTCAGATTCCATATTGATTCTAGAGATGTGATTCTCTTGGAAGTCATGGGCGAATAAGGTGAATTCAATCGTGTGCAATGAATTGCTTGAGTCTAAATATCATGGGCATCGAGGAAGATGCCAAGGTGGGATGGGTTAAGAAACTCAAGAATAGAAACGAAATAAATTTCATTAGAAATCAAGAAACATGAATCTAAGACTTCACTAAAATTAACACCAGGGGATGTTGGGATACCTCTAATTTCGACTTTGAGGGCATTGACTCTATTGGCAGGCCTGGTGGTTTTCTTTGCATTTGGAACCCCCATCTATTTCAAAAAACTGAAGTCATAAAGTCTAGACATTACCTGATAATTTACGGTTATTACCTAGGATGAAAAAGATAACGTATGGAGTCATTAAACAAACCCTTTTAGTTGATGATTCCGGGACGTAATCATCCTAAGGGGGAGATAATTGTAACGCCCGTAGATTCGAGCTAGTAAATTTAGAGACAATAAACGTCAAAAATGACTTTTTGATAGAAGATTATTTAGAATAAATAATCTTAACCAAGTTATAGTATATGTCACAAGGGTTCTGTACATATAAAGAACGCCGAAATCCTAGTTATAACGAAGAAGTTATGACCTGTCGAAGTTTTACGGCTTAACCGACACGACACCGCATAACGTAAAAATTGAATTTTTGATAAATTACTTTTTAGCCTTACAAATCTAAACGAAAGTCGTAGTATAATTTAAACCGAGAGCGTGCGTAAAAAGAACGTCCAAATCTGACTTCGTCTCTGAGTAGGTTATGATTTTTGTAAGATTTAACATAACAGTGCACACCCGGAAATCGAATTTTAGATCGATCGATTTTTAGCCGACACAACCTAAATGAGAATTGAAGATCTCATTAATAAGAGCTCAACGATATAAAGACAGTCAAAAGCGGGCGTCAGATGAAAAAGTTATGAATTTTTGACGGATTTCAACTGTCTAAGTCTGTTAAAATATAACTTTAAAAATAAAGTCAAAATTAGCCAACACAGTTTAAAAGAAAGTCGTAGATCCCGTCGATACCTATGCGTGGATATAAATAACGTAAAAAATGGAGCTCGTATGCAAAAGTTACGGATTTTAGAAGATAATTAGTTTTTGGAGTAACCAGCGAGCGACACATGGCGCGATCTGAGCCACTGCTTCCTCACCACGGCTAGACACCTGGCCACGAACGTCTAACGTTCAGCAAGGGAACGTCTCGTGTTCGAACTGGACTCAACATATAAATAGAGGTGCAAATCACCCCAAAAACTCACACCTTTCCCATTCTTTCTTTCTCAAACACCTCTCTTAGCCGCTCCCATTCCCTCACTACTAGAAAAACAGCCTTTTACGACGCGCAATGCGTATCGTAAAACGCTCAAACGACGCGCAAATGCGTGTCAAGGAAGGCCCCGTCATAACGAGATACGACACGCTTTTGCGCGTCGTCTATTTTCGACGCACATTTATGACACGCAGTTACGACGCGCAGTTACGACACACAATGTGTATCAAGAAAGGCCCTGTTATAAAGGAAGACGACACGCATTTGCGTGTCGTAACCTTACGACGCGCGTTTAGGACACACATTGTGTATCATTAAAGCCCCTGTCATAAATGAAGATGACATGTATTTGCGTGTCGCAATTTTAAATGTTTTAAATGTTTTAAATATATATATATATATATATATATATATATATATATATATGATAGAATTACTAATTTTCAAATTAAACAATAGATTGAAATTATCATAATACAAAATAAAATACCATACATAAGAACGATAATTCATTTCAAAAAAATATCACATGTCAAACAAATTACCTAACATTACATGTCAAACAACACTACATGTCAACACTAATAACACTTAAAAACATGCTTTTTCCTGCATTTGGAGCACCCACTATTCCTATATCAGCAACAAACTTTAGGTCCAATTCCAACCACCTGTAAAAGAACAACATTATAAAAGAACAACATTAGAAGATCAGCATTTGCTTGATTTGATGATTCAACATTAGTTTCCCTTGGACCTATTCCTATTAAAAAGATACATATGAGAATATATATATATATATATATATATATATATATATATATATATATATATATATAGCTTATGTGAAGGAAAATTGAGTTAACTTACCAGCATGAATATGTATGTTAATGTGCCTTGGGATACTTCCAATTCCAATAGGACTATATGCCCCAGGATTTGCATTTGCATGACTATCAAAAAGAGAATTGGTTTGTAGAGGAAAGGGTTGCAAGTAGATTGTGGATTCATTATTTATTAAAGAAACAGACATATTGTTACCTTCTCCACTTAACCTCTTTAAAAAAAGCTTCTTTTTTAAATTTTACAAGTGTGTGTATATAGTGAGAGTTGACCACAAACCTGAACCATTATAGGATTAGGTACACTACAAAATAAAGGGAAAAGATTTAGAGATTTAAAATTATTTTTCACAAAAGCTAAAAGGAGAATAATATCACCTGTAATTTAGGAGCCAGATCAATATACCACACTGAAGAAATGCTCCACCAGAAACAATCACAGTGATTGATGTGAGACCTGATGAAAACCGACCAGCAGTTAGAGAACACTGATACAAGTTTCAAATTTAGTCCATATAGTTCAAACAATGACACAAATAGTCCCTATACTTTGAAAAATGTCACTTACAATCGCATCAAAAACTCCATATACAGCCATGACACCACCTACACCGGACTCACCAAGAGATGGCTGAACAAAAAACTTTGTGAACTCTGCCCCTACAATGAATGATACAAACAGAATCCAAGGTTAACTAAAGAAAAATGAAATGGAAATTTTATATTGATAGTATTGTAAGTTGACTTATGCATACCACACAAATCTTGTTGTAGACCTGGATATGCTATAAGTGGGACAATTAGTAACATCCTTATGTCACATAAAGGTGTTATCACATGCTTCCATAAAGATAGTAGGAAAGAATAGAAACTAAGAGAGGAATCTCTTTGTTCTTCTGTTTCTTCATTATCCCTTTCTTTAAGAAAGCCATTAGAAAAGTTCCCAAGGTCATGCTGCCAAGAAAGACAGTGAAAAGTAAAGTTGTTCCACTCGTACTTCCCTCCTGCAAACAATTAAAAAAATAGGTAGTGGTTGTTAGAAGCAAATTTAAGGGGATCAATTTAGTTATAGATTCTTACAGTTCCATCCTTCAACAGAAAAAGAGTCAAAATGATAGAGATGTTAAATAAGGGTAGAAAGTCTAAAGTATTAAAAATTGCAATTTATCTATTGTTAAATTAATTTTTTTTTTTCAGTTTTGACCATGATCGACTAATTAATATTGGATTTGTGATTTTTATCACCTAAATTATATTAGAAATTCATGTACACTAAAATACAAATTAAATATAACATTTAGTACCTTTACATATGTCAAGAAATTTGTAAGAAAAAGTAAGAAACATGTATTCTGCAAACTTATATGTGAATGAAATAGTGTCAAGCCATGAAGTACCTCTTTTCAGTATCATTTTCTTGACCACCAGATGTTTGTGTTTCTGTTTCTGCCTTGGGTGCGGGAACACTTTCCATGAAGAGAAAAATAAACATAGAATATTAAATTTCCAATACACTACTAGTACCACACACAATGTGCCTGATATATATTGCTGTATCATGCACACGAACAACATTTTCATAATGAGATTCCACCATCTGTAGCATGCCCAATACATTTCTGTTATAGGTAAAAAGTAAAGCATATTCATCCTTAAAAAAGTATTGAAATTATTGCATTAACAAGAATTAACCTCAAATACAAGGTGCACTTGACGTTCACTGCAAACATCTATATTCAAAGAAGGTCTTGATCCATAATCTTCACCTCCTAATATAAGTTTCCTGAGAGAATTAACTAAAGCATCTACAAACAATAAGAAGTGATTAATAATAATAAGATTCTTTTGGTTTTTGACTTAATGTGGACATAACTTAATCTGGAAAGCTATATATCAGTATTCGGTGTTTCTTTATTTACCATCAGTTCTTGTATCTGAACATGCACGAGCACTTATCCAGTGTCCAACTTTAGATTTAATCCTTTCAACAAACACATTATCTGCAACTGAACGAGATGAAGGAGACTGGGTCACGTAATAACTTTAAACTGGATTCTCGATTAAGTCCATCCCTCGGGAACAAATGGAAGTTGAACACAGATGAATTGAGAAAACAGTGTTGATCATCAATCTGTTTATTATTGTTCTGATTAGTGTTATTGAGGCGATCAATACATTCTGAAATATCAATTCAAGTTCAAGGATGTTTCGATGTATACGAATTAGATGTATGCATGTAAATAGCTAAATATGATTATTGCAGACTTACGGGTGAGCTGTAAGCTTATTGGAAGCCCTTAATAGAAAAAGGGAAAACAACAAACTGAAGAATCTGAAACCTCTCGGTGGCATACTTGGCCTTCAGGTATGCGGTTTCATCGGTGTCGAA